CTCCCAAGAGCTGGGATTACAGGACTGTGCCACCACGCCCAGTCTCAATGCGCCCCAGGGGCGGGGCCAGCACGGCAGGCATGGGATCCAACCCCTGGCCCCTGTGCCTGCTTGCAGGCGCTTTAATCCGCTGAGCTCTTTGGCCAGCCCTAGATTTATTTATATTTTAAAAAATACCTTATATAGGGGCTGGTGAGATGGCTCGGTGGTCTAAAGCACCTACTTAGAACAAGCTTAGCAAAGCCCAGGGACCAGGGTTCAATCCCCCAGCACCACATGCCAGCCAGCCCCGCCTCCTGGTGGGCTGAGCTGGACACACACACACACACACACACACACAAATAAATAAATTAAAAAAAAATACCTTATATACATATTTTTGAAGTTGAAAAATTCTATTTCTAGGACTTTTCTAGGACTGCTTTAAATTGATAATCTCCTACTTCATCCTCAGGCAGAGTTGAGAGTACCACATGCAGCAGCTTACCCACCTTTTAAAATAAACTGCAATCCAACTCCACCTGGAGTGTAACTCAGCCGTACTGGGTAATGCTGAATGCTACCTCACAACCCACCCTAAGCACCCCTTTAGTCCCAATTTTCCTTCACAGGCATGATTCCTGGTAGGTCTCTCATCAGTGCCAACCGGCACAGGCAGCTCCTGCGAACCCTGACCTGCTGCTCCCCAACCCTTGGAGGTTCCCCTACCTCTTTATGTTTCTCCATGGTGGCGTAGAGTTTCTGGGAGAGGTCATTAGACACATTGGGCATGCCAGCCTTCTTTTTGTTGCCCCTACTTAAGCTGCTCTTATTTTTGCTGGTTTTTTTATTGTTCTTCTTTTTAGCATTTTTGCTGTCTCCCTTTGTCACCTGCAGGGCAGCGCAAAGAAGAAAAAAATACTTCATTAAGAAAGAATCTGTAAACAATACTGATTTAAAAAAAAAAAGATTTTGTTCTTTGAAACTATAGAGATTACATCATGTTTACATATGACTGCACTAGGGCTCCTTCATATACCACCTGCTTTTTAAGCTGTTATTTAAAAGCCATCTAATGCTTACTGAGGTGTTTGGCCTAATTTTCTGTCTTAAGACCAGGACCTTGCATTAAAATGATGGCAGCTTTAACTTTCATTTGCCTGGAAGGGTATCAGAATTTATAAATTCTGCTGATAAAACCTGAGACCTGGATTAGGACACAAAGAGTCCTCAGCAGTGGGGGTAGTGAGAGTGCATGGAGGTGACACCTCTGCCCCTACACTTTTCTTGCCTTCTGAGCATATCCTATAATTTTTATTTTAATTAATTAATTTTAATGTATTCAGTACAGGGTCTACAGGGTCTCACTACATAGGATCAGACTTGTAGTGAGCCTCCTGTTTCCAGCGTCCCAAGTGCTGGGACTGCAGGCATACGCCACCATGCCAGTCTCAATTGCCATCTCAGGGGGCCTTGAGGGTGGGACCCATACCGAATGCCAGGGATCAAACTCTGCTCTCTGCATCTTGCCTAAGCAAGTGCTTTAATCCGGTAGCTATTTTGCCAGCATCGCCTTTCTGAGACAGTGTGGCACTATGTAGTTCAGGCTGGCCTCAAACTCATGGTGATACTCCTACCTCAGCCTCCCGAGTGCTGGAGTTTCAGGCATGCACCACACCAAGCCTGGCTATCCTACAATTTTTTTTTTTTTTTTTTTTTCCCAGAACTGGGAATTGAACTCAGGCCCTTGTGCTTGCCAAAGAAGCACTTATTCCACTAAGCCATCTCCCCAGCCACAATCCTCCAATTTTTTAAGTTTTCACAACAATGCAAAAATACAGGGGCTGGGGAGATGGCTCAGTGGTCTAAAGCACCTACTTAGAACAAGCTAAGCTAAGCAAAGCACAGGGACCGCGGTTCAATCCCCCAGCACCACATG